GAGGACTCTCGGGCGCGGGGGCCTCAGGGCCCCGAGACCCGTGGGGGTGACGGAGCGTTGCGGTGGTTCGGTGGGGACTCGGGGTCCCCGCATGGTCTTGGGTCTCGAGCCCCTCCGCCTCCGAGGACGTCTCGGGCGACGGGGGATCCAGGCCCCGAGACCGTGCGGTGACTGAGCGTGCGGTGACCTCGACGGAGCGTGCGGTGAAGTCTCGTGGGGACTCGGGGTCACCGCACGGTCTTGGGGCTCGGGCCCCTCCTCTCCGAGGACGTCTCGGGCGACGGGGGCCTCCAGGGCCCCGAGACCGTGCGGTGACGGAGCGTGCGGTGAAGTCTCGTGGGGACTCGGGGTCACCGCACGGTCTTGGGGCTCGAGCCCCTCCTCTCCGAGGACGTCTCGGGCGACGGGGCCTCCAGGGCCCCGAGACCGTGCGGTGACGGAGCGTGCGGTGAGTCGGTGGGGACTCGGGGTCACCGCACGGTCTTGGGGCTCGAGCCCCTCCTCTCCGAGGACGTCTCGGGCGACGGGGGCCTCCAGGGCCCCGAGACCGTGCGGTGACGGAGCGTGCGGTGAGTTCGGGTGGGGACTCGGGGTCACCGCACGGTCTTGGCTCGGGCCCCTCCTCTCCGAGGACGTCTCGGGCGACGGGGGCCTCCAGGGCCCCGAGACCGTTGCGGTGACGGAGCGTGCGGTGAAGTCTCGTGGGGACTCGGGGTCACCGCACGGTCTTGGGGCTCGAGCCCCTCCTCTCCGAGGACGTCCCTCGGGCGACGGGGGCCTCCAGGGCCCCGAGACCGTGCGGTGACGGAGCGTGCGGTGAGTCGTGGGGACTCGGGTCACCGCACGGTCTTGGGGCTCGAGCCCCCCTCTCCGAGGACGTCTCGGGCGACGGGGGGCCTCCAGGGCCCCGAGACCGTGCGGTGACGGAGCGTGCGTGAGTCGGTGGGGACTCGGGTCACCGCACTGGTCTTGGGGCTCGAGCCCCTCCTCACCCGAGGACGTCTCGGCGACGGGGGCCTCCAGGGCCCGAGACCGTGCGGTGACGGAGCGTGCGGTGAAGGAGGAGGAGGAGGAGAGGAGGAGGGAGGAGGAGGGATGAGGAGGAGGAAGGAGGAGGAGGAGGAGCACCGCACCGTTTCGGGACTCCAACGCAACGGTTTCGCAGTGTTATGCTCTTTTGGCAGTCTTCGGAGGAGGGCTCCGGCGAGAGCCCCCGCCTCGAAGAGGAACCGCCCTCCTCCTCCTCCTCCTCGTCCTCCTCCTTCTCCCCCTCCCCCTCCTCCTCCTCCTCCTTTTCCTCCTCCTCCTCCTCCTCCTCCTCCTCCCCCTCCTCCTCTTCCTTCTCCTCCTCCTCTTCCTCCTCCTCCTCCTCCTCCTCCTCCTCCTCCTCGTGCGCGCGGCGCCAGGGCCAGGGGGCCACAGGCGAACCCGGCACCCCTACCCCCGTTCGCTCCGTTCGGGAGCTCCCGAGCGAAGTGCACCCCGACCCTCCCCCCTCAGAAATCGCGGGGGCCAGGAGTACACCCTAGGCGATGCTGAATAACACTTGAATTTTCGGCCAGAGTCTCGATGATTCTTCATGTTTCAATATAATTCCTAAGATTTCAATAGACACGCTGGGTCTTCCTTCCAATTCCGAGACCAGGAATTTCTTAACCCATGATGTCTTGAGCATCTCGCAGGGAGTGGGCTCTCGCGCGTGGCCCCCTTCGAGGGCGGGGCCCCGCTCTCGGGCCCCCCGCCCGGCGCGTCCGCGGCGAGGGCGCGCGGCGACCCGAGGCGGGAGCCCCCCCCGCCGCCCAGAGCCGCGCGCCCTCCGTGCGTATGTGGCGGTCGGCGGCCGTCGGGGCAGGGGCGCGCGGTCGCCCAGCGGGGCGAGGTCCGCGCTCCTCCCCGACCTCGGGGGCGGAACAGAGAGGGGGGGTGATGACTCGAGGGGGCCTAGACTCCCTCGAGTACTGAAAAGATCGGGACGGAAGGTTTTTCTGAGTTTTCGGTCTCGGGGGGGCCCTCACCGGGCCTCGGGAGGCGTTAAAAAACGACTCGGGATGCGCAGCCGGTCCCGGGGAATAGATCGAGATCTCTGGGGGTCGACGTCATGAAACAATCATGACGTCGGGGGTCTGGGAGCGAGGGTCGGGGGCGGGAAAGGGGGGGGTGCTGACTAGGGGGGGTTGGATATCATGGCGTGGGCCATGATACTTCCCAGATCTCATGGCGCCTCTTCTTGTTTCATTGCGTCCCTGGCCCCCCCCGCTGGGCCGCGCACATGCCGCCGGTCATGATTTGCACCCCCCCCTCTTGGACACCCCCCTCTTGGCCGCTCCCGACAACCGGGCCTTGCTGCAGGTTGAGTCGGGCGTGCCCCCTCTGCAGGAGGAGCACTCGCATTCAAAACTAGGCGAGCAAACATCATCGGGGGACGACGTGTCGATGATGTTCGATCACCCTGGGGCATTCTTGGACCACTCTTGATTAGTCGGGGGACGATTTGTAGATGATTTTCGATCTCTCTGGGGCATTCTTTGACCACTCTTAATTTTTCGTCGAAGATCCGCCTGCAGGGGAGCGCGCCCGACCGAAGCTTACGGGCGTCCCGTGTGTTCTCGAGGATCCGTTGGGTGCCGGGCCTGCGCGGGCTGGCCTTCCCCCGGGGTGCCTTGGTTCCTTTGGGTTCCGGGGCCTTCGCTCCTCGCTGTGTTCCTCGGTTTTCCTGGTCTTGGCTCCTTGGAGCCCCTGGTTCCTTGGTTTTGGTTTCTTGCTTCCTTGGTATTGTTCCTAGGTCTTGGTTCCTTGGCTCCCTGGTATCGATTCCTTGGTTCCTGGGTATGGGTATCGGTTCCTTGGTTCCTGTGTATGGGTTCCTTGGTCCCTTCGTTCCTTTGCCCCTTGGACTCGGTTCCCTGCCGCCTCGCCACGCAACGCCAAGCAAAGCAACGCAACGTCACGCAGTGCCGAGCAGTGCTGAGCAATGCCAAACAGTGCCACGCAATGCCGAGCAATGCCGACCAGTGCCAAGCAGTGCCACGCTATGCCGAGCAAGTCCAGGCAAAATGCCATGCAATACCAATCAGCACCACGCAATGCCAAACAGTGTGCCAAGCACTCTGCCAACCAAGACCAAGCAAGGCCAAGCAGTGCCACGCGATGCGCCCATGGGGTGACCCCAACTGGGTTGGCATGGCTTGGCATTGCTTGGCATTGCTGGTCAGTTCTTGGCATTTTGCTTGGCATTGCTGGGCATTGATTGGCAAGGCCTGGCATTACTTGGCATTGCGTGGCATTGCTTTGCATTGCTTTGCACTGCTTTTCATTGCTAGGCGTTGCGTGGCAAGGCAGCAAGGAACCAAGACCCAGGAACCAAGACCAAGGAAGCAAGTTAATCAAGGAACCAAGGGACCAAGAGACCAAGTGACCAAGGACACAAGACCAAGGACCCAGGAACCAACCAAGGAACCAAGGAACCAACACCGATGAACCAATGACCCGATACCGAGGAACCAAGGGATGGAGGTACCAAGGAACCAAGCAACCAAGCAACCAAGCAACCTGCCCAGGAACCAAGGAAGCAAGGAACCAGGTAACCAAGGAATCCGGACTGAGGAACCAAGGTATCCGATACCAAGGAGCCAAGAAACCAAGGAACCAAGAAACCAAGGCACCGAGAAACCAAGGAAGCAAGACCAGGGAACCTGAGGAAGACTGCCAAGAAACAAGAACCAGGAACGAAGGAACCAAGACCAGCCAAGACCAACGAGCCCAGGAAGGCTGGCCGGCGTAGGCCCAGCACCCACTGGCTCCTCAATGCCCGGTCAGACACACTCAGGCAAAGCCTGATCGGGGAACGGTTCGCCGCCCATCCGTGCAAGTGTTGGAAGTTTCACGCTTCGAGGTCGTAGACTATGGGGAAGTCTCAGGCGAAACGCCGGGCCCGCCCTAAGGACACGTCTGGTGGTGCAGCAGGTGGGAGTCATGTATGAGAAAGAGCGGAGGAGGAGGAGGAGGAGGAGGAGGAGGAGGAGGAGGAGGAGGAGGAGAGAGGAGGAGGAGGGGGGAGGAGGAGGAGGAAGGAGGAGGAGGAGGAGGAGGAGGAGGAGAGGAGGAGGGAGGAGGAGGGAGGAGGGAGAGGAGGAGGAGGAGGAGGAGGAGGAGGAGAGGAGGAGGAGGAGGAGGAGGAGGAGGAGGAGGGAGGAGGCCTGGGAGCCTCTTGAGAGCCTCTCGGGGGCGTCTTGGAGGCAGCTTGGAGGCGGCCTCTTGGTGGCCTCCCCGGGGGCCCCCTGGGGGTTCTGGACCCGCCTTGGAGTGGAGGCTTCCACTGGTCTTGCCGTGGCACGCTTGTTGGGCCCCCCCTGGGGCCGTGTCCCCGAGGGCCGACGGCACGGCCCGAGAGAATCCCAGGATGGCCTCAGGACGGGCCTCATGGGGCCACCTTGGCGCACGCTGGAGGTGCAGGTTCCAGCAGCACTGCCGAGGCCTCGGGGGAGAAAGCCACGCGATGACCCGCGGTCGGGTACCTGAGCGTACCTGGCGAACCGTTACATCATGCTGCGGCCTCACATTTTAGGGTGGCACCGTCGCTGCGCTGCCTTTGCAGTAGAGGCCCCACCGCGGTGGTGGATAGGCCTGATGCGCTCGCACGTGCTCGTGGTCGCGACCTCGTCCTTGTCCTCGTCCTCCTCCTCCTCCTCCTCCTTCTCCTCCCTCCTCCTCCTCCTCCTCCGCCTTCTCCTCCTCCTCCTCCTCCTCCTCCCTCCTCCTCCTCCTCCTCCCTCCTCCTCCTGCTCCTCGTCCTCCTCCTCCTCCTCTCTCCTCCTCCTCCCCTCCCTCCCTCTCCTCCTCCTCCTCCTCCTCCTCCTCCTCCTCCCTCCTCCTCCTGCTCCTCGTCCTCCTCCTCCTCCTCCTCCTCCTCCTCCTCCTGCTCCTCCTCCTCCTCCTCCTCCTCCTGGTCCCCGATCGCCGGGCGCGGTGCGACAGCAGCGGCTTCCACGCTCGGCCGCGCGCAAGCTGCTCAAGGGGTGTCCTGTCCGTGCGCCGCGCCAGCGCGCCGGGGACACCGAGGCGCCCCCCCGGGCGGCGGCCCGATTCCAGCAGGCCTCGGCGTCTGCTGAGCGGCTCCCTCCCCGTCCCCTCCTCCCCCTCGCTGCCGCTCCTGCTCGAAGCACGTCGTCTCGACTACACCGAATGGGGTGGCCCTTCGCCGGAGCGACCTTTGGTGCGGGCCCACCGGGGTCCGCCGAGCGTCGACCGCGATGCGACAGTAGCGTCTTGCGCGCGTGGGGTTGGCTCCCCCGATGGCCCTCGAAAGCCGCGCGCCAAGGGTCGCTCTTGCCTCGGGCCACTCTTGCGTGTAGCCGGTTGCCGCTGCGCTGGTTCGTCTGTCGTCCTCGTCCTCGCCGTCGCTGTTCGTCGTCACCGTCGTGTCGGGGGCTGCCGCTGATATCTCTGCTTTCGGAATCTTGAGGCATAGGCTCAGGGGGGGAACGCATCGACCCCCAATCGGCAGCTCCCGAGCGGAGTGAACCCCAGCCTCCCCCCTCAGATATCGTGGGGGGTAGGGGCAGGGTTCGCACGTCGCCCCCTATCCAAGCTCCGGGCCGGCGTTGGAGGGTCTGCACTACTCCTCCTCCTCCTCCTCCTCCTCCTCCTCCTCCTCCTCCCCCTCCTCCCCCTCCTCCACCTCCTCCTCCTCCTCCTCCTGATGCACGAGCAGCTTTATCTCGAATGAAGCCGAGGGCTGGTCTCGGCATAGATAGGCTGACGCCAGTCGACTTTCAACGTTTGCCAGATGAAGGCATCCAGGCCTTGTGCGATCTGTTTCTACTCATAGAGCAAGGGTTGTCATGGCCATGGCAGAGTCTCTGTATCGTTGGAAAACTTTTGGGGAACAAATCAGGAGGCGATCGAGTCATAGGACTGATCGCGATGCTGGCCAGAGTCTGGTCCATGGCGCGCGAGGTGGAGATGAAGGAGTGGTCCGTCGAGCAGGCTGAAGTGGACCACTGGGATGCCGCCGTCGCGGGCAACAGCGCTCTGCGCGAAGCATTCGTGCGAGCGCTGGAGGACGAGGTCCACACTCGTTTGCAGATCCCGAGCAGACATACGCTATGGGACATCGCCTCTTTCTATGATTTCATAGAGTTTCAACCCCTCGCTGAATGTGCTTTGGAAAAAGGCTTCCAACCAGTTATCTTATTTCTGGAACTTCAACTGTGTCTGGCACCTCGTATGTTGGAGCAACTCAGTTGTTTCTCAGAGCCTTTCGAAGTGACGCGGTCTGTGGTCCAGGGCTTGAGGAACGGCACGCGGTTTGCCAAATGCAGCACGGCGAACATATGTCGTCGGCTCTGCAATTCTTTCAGCACGCTGCGTAAGCGAATATGTATAGATGCTTTATCGCAAAGAGTTTCAGGGTCACGAGCTCATATCAGGGCGACCTTGACCAAGGGCGGCATCCAGACCGCCAAGGAGTTTCAGAAGTTGCACCTCGGCTTGGCGGACAAGAGCGTCATCACTTGTTCGCATCATGCAGACGCGATTGCTGTTGTGAGGGCACTGAGGCGCAAGGGCATCCACCTGCGCGCGGCCCTCTAGACGGCATACCTCGGCGTCGACCTCAGCAGTGGGAGGCGCCAAGGTCGAGCCACCGTTCGTCAACGGCATCTGAAGTCAGGCCAGTCACACGCTCGACTTCGACGTTTCGCACAGGCCGCTCGTCGGTGGCAGGCATCGGCCAGACTTCAACGGGCTGGACCACAAGCAGCTGCAGTCTACGGACACCACGTCCATGGGCAATTCGGATCGACGATGCTGGCTCAGCGGCGCAGGCTTGGCGCGACGGCTGGATCGTCGAAGCGAGGGCGGTGTTTGACCACTTTACTCTCTCTTATATTGCCTGGGTTCGACCCAGGCCACCTTCTACCCAAACAATGCATATCTCAATGGTTGGCGGTGTGGCTGACTGAGGTAGGGCTGCGGCGATCCATCGAACGGGCATGGCCGAAAGCAGTGGCACACCTACGTTCCCTTCCTCAGGGCCAGCGTGTGCGGCACGTGCGAGGCCCAATGACCACGGTGATCCTTTACTTGCTTGACGCGGGCTGGTCGCCCAGCACCCCCACCGACTGGGACGTGCCGACTGATGGCGCTGCAGAAGTTCACGCCTGGCAGTTCGACAGCAGTGACTTCGAGGCGCTGGACCAGGCAGCCCCGTTATTGGCGGAGTTGGAGCGGACATACGAGCTGAAGCAGTGGAAGGACGCATCTTCTTTGTTCTGTGGAGCTGGGCTCGAAGGAGGGGCTGATATGACCTCCCTGAGAGCCATGGTGGCGGACTTGCTGCACGCGGAGAAGGGCAGGCAGCTGTCCGAGTTACTGGTGTCTGCGGCCACAGGAGGGTGGTGGCCGAAAGTGCGGAGTCATGAAGCTGGGCTACGTGCTGACGATCGGTGCGATCGATGCGGCACGGAGCAGGACACACCGTTGCATAGATGCTGGACATGTTCCAAAAATCAAGGGTCTCGTGCTTTCGATGAATATATTGATTTACTCCCGCGTGCTGTGAGTGAATCCGAGGTTTTTTCCTGTTTCTGGGTGCGGGGGCTCATCCCTTCCGCTTGGACCTCCATTCAGCCCCCCCCCCATCTGTCGAGGTTATCTCTGGCGGTCGTCTCGGGAACAATGGTCTCGGGGCTGGCTGTCTTGGGACTGGGACTGCTCTGGAGCCCCTGGTTATTTTTGGAGACGCCTCTGGGGGTCGAGACACCCTCGGCTCTAGACTCAGGCGGGTTGGCATAGGACTTGCCACTTTCACTAGGTATGATCCTTTGGAGTTGGGGCCTTTCCTCATGGGGCCCCTCACAGGAACGGCACAGACTGTTCCTCGAGGTGAACTTAGGGCGTTTGAGTGGGCCTTGCGTTTCAGCGTAGGCGAACTATTGTAGGTTACGGATTGTGACGAAGTTGCTAGAGGGTGATACAGCGAGTTGTTCCGCAGGCCTCAAGGCCCCCGGTCGGACATATGGCGTGACATCGGTAATCTACTGATATCACAAGTTAGAGCTCCAGCATGTATAGTTGTCGTTCAGATCCCGTCTCATTTGACAGGTGCTGAAGTGCTGGCCCGTGGTCTCCCCTAGTGGTTAGTGCTAGGCAACTCTTGTGTGGATGAATGAGATCGCGGGAGTGGCAGCGACACTCGCGCGAGTTTCTTCGGAGGAGCGTCACAAGATTCATGAGGTCGAGCATCGGGCCCGACTGGTTCGGAGGAGGTTGCTGCGTGTCGGCTTAGACTCCACTCGAGCGTCTCAGCTCTCTGATGTCCAAAGAGGGCGAGGCGCTGGTAGAGTCCCTCCCCCTCCTCCCCCTCCCCCTCCTTTAGCTCTTGCGCGCTTCGTGTCCGCACATACCCTGACCGAAAACGGGAAGGCGTGTAGCGTGTGTAAAGGCTTCGCGACTAAGGCTGTGGTGTCCGAATGGCGAACAAGTGAATGCTTCCAACTCCAGCATGACAGCAGCGAGCTTCGTCGTGTTCCTAGGGGACGGCGTTTACACTTGGCCGGTGGTTGGACTCATCCCTCACACGCCTTGACCTATCATAAAGACCTTAAAATCTGGTTTTGCCGCACGTGTGGATTCTTTGGCCAGGCTCAGCTCAGAGGCCTGGGAGAACCGTGCAAGCTGCCGGTTTCGAAGGCCAGGCGCGAGTATCTTGACAGGATTAATCGCGGCCTGTTTCCGAAGAGCTGAGCATTTAAGCCTGGTTATCACTACGTGATGGCGGAAATCCTGGAACTCCTCCTCCTCCTCCTCCTCCTCCTCCTCCTCCTCCTCCTCCGTGTGGTCCCTCGGATCCTCGTGCTGGTCTTGCAGCAGGAGTGTGTGGCGGTGTGCTGGCGCGGCAGGCTCGATGGGGTGCTACGCGGCAGGTCTGGGGTGCTGCACACAGGAATCGTGCAGCAGATCCAGCTAATTAGGGTTCTCCACCTTAGCGAACGACGAGGGGAAGGAGGAGGAGGAGGAGGAGGAGGAGGAGGAGGAGGAGGAGGATGAGGAGGAGGAGGGTGAGAGGAGGAGGAGGAGGAGGAGGAGGAGGAGGAGGAGGAGGAGGAGGAGGAGGGTGAGGAGGAGGAGGAGGAGGAGGAGGGGGAGGAGGAGGAGGACGAGGAGGAGGATGTAGGAGGGGAGTCTTGGTGTACCTGCTCCTCCTCGATGCTTCTTCCTCAAGCGACGCAGGCCATGCCTGGATTTCATGGGCCTGGTTGCGGGTGCGCGCATGAGGAAGACTTCACAGGCGTCGCTCAGGACGCGAATGCCTTTTTGAGATTTGTTTCTTCTGACAATCAGTAAGAGCTAGAGGACGAACGTTTGTATCATCTGAAAAAAGAGGAGACGAATGAGGAGACGAGGGTGGACGATGAGGAGGATGGGGAGGAGCATGAGGGGAACATCCTGGTTTCAGGAGGAGTGCAGATGATGACGGATGAGGAGCCTGCTACTGTGGTGGTGGATGTGCGAGGGTTTATGATGGCCATGCTTTCTATGATAACTGACGTGGACATGTGCACGATATCGCTTCCTGCAGCGTTGCCGCTATTCCTAGGGCTGCAAGGCTGTGCCATGAATGTTGGACCACCTTCATGGAACAGCCAGCGCGATTTGTAGGTGAAATCATCATGGGAATGTGTATCATGTCGTTCGATTTGTTCTCGGTTTGCGCAGGGTGTCTCAGCACAGACAGCCTTGGAGACCAGATCAATCCTGGGTTCTCGTAGCACCTGCGAACACATCTGGGTTGCTTGTGGATGAGTCCTACGGACGCCGAGTTTCAGTCAGCATGAATGAAATGAGGACTGGAGAACAGGTGCATTGTCGAAGCCTTCTGGCTTTTCGTACCCCCGTGTCCTCGAGCCCATATTTTGCCAGTTTCCTTGTTCTTCTACCCACCCTCCATGCTGGGCCAGGCTGGCCTTGGAAAACGCCCAGCGCATTTACGCACGACCCTTGAAATAAGAGCCTCCAGGGAGTTGGAATTGATCCGCCAAAAGCGTGAAGAGATGCGTAGAACGTATAGCCTCCTCTCAGGAAGCTTATACAAGCCGCTTGAACATATGCCTTGATTCGCTTAGAAGACTACCCTGCTTCGTATACATCCTGGCCCGAATAGGCTGGTTCGGGAACCATTTCCCCGCTTGGATCCGAAACGGCGACGCGACGAAGGGGGAAGCGAGATGGGGCAGATCTTCTCAGAAGGCGGCGGGGCCTCTCAGCAGCCTCTTGGTCTCCCGAGAATCCGCTTGCGACTTCGGGGAAGGGCCAGACAGTTTTTTCAGAGGGCCGCAGGCCTCCTGAGCCCTCTGAGCTGGACCGCCCCCGTTGCCTTCTCTCCCCTGGGCGTGCCGCCGACTGAGGCTGAAGTCTTCTGCTGGCATAGGTCCTTTCGGATGCAACTCCTGGGAGGTCAAGTTCTGATCCTGCCCCGGTCCGAAATCCTGCTTCATCCGGCTGGAGTCCTGCCTTTGCTGGCTCCATCTGGCTCTATTCCGCTGAATCTGGCTCAGTCCCGCTTCATCCGAGGCCCGACCTAGCGCAACAGGATCTCCCCATGGGGCTTAATCCTCCTTAATCTTTCCGACGGATGCCTCCCAGTAGTTGCCTCCTGAGGCCCTCCCGTCTGGGCCACGGCGAGTGGCGGCTGCTTCGCAGCGGTCGTTCCGCGCTCCGCGTCCGTGCTGCGCCTGTGGGAGGAGGACCTGCGGGGGCGGCGTCCCAGGACGATCTGCACGGTGTCAGCCGGGCGCCTTGCATCGGGTCTCCCTCGACCGCAGGTGTGAGCACTCTGCAGTGGAAGCGTGAGAGCCCCGCAGTGGTACACACTGTTCATGCCTAATTCTGCTGAAGCTCTTTGTTTTTCTGGGGGGCCAAGATCCTCTCATTTCTAATTGTTCTGTCCTGGGCCTCTTCCTGGCCACTAGGGGCCAGGAACAGTTAGAAGAGGGCACAATTAGAAATGAGCACGATTAGAAATGAACGACGTGTACGTAGTTGCACTTACACGGCAATGCTCCTACGACGCTGGTTTCCCGCTCTGAAGGCACGCTGCAAATAAGGGGCGCGGATTCACTGAAATGCGCGAAGCCTACTGAAAGCAGGTCTGATATGGGCGAGGCTTCCCGAGCTGTCAGTTGGAGTAACAAATCATATCACGGACATTTGCGCTCAAAGCACTATTGTATCTTGTGTAAACCTGTCCACCCAAGGTTGGCCAGAGGGGTTTGCCCGGAGCCAGGAGGGCTGGCTGGGGTTGTCCGCAGAGTTGGCCACAGGGTCGGCCAAAGAGTTGGCTGGGCGAATGCTCAGTGACGTTACTCATGCGATCTTTCCATGACGTTGCCTTTCCATGAGGTCTGCTTTTCCATCGCAGGCGAGTGCTTCGAACGGCTGTCTTCCCATAGCGTCCAGTACCTCGGGCATGCCACGGCCGCCTCTGGTGGCCAGTAAGGAGGGGGAGGAGGAGGAGGAGGAGGAGGAGGAGGAGGGGGGGATGAGGAGGAGGAGGAGGAGGAGGAGGAGGAGGAGGAGGAGGAGGAGGAGGAGGAGGAGGAGGATGAGGATGAGGAGGAGGAGGAGGAGGAGGAAGAGGAGGAGGGGAGGCGCTGCTCCTTTCCCTTGGTTCGCCTGCCTCTGGATCTTGCCGCTGCAGGTCTGGCCAAGGGCCGCGGGCAGTGCCCGCCGTCTGTTGTGTGTGTGTGTGTGTGTGTGTTCCGCGTCCACTCGCGCGGGGCAGCGCTTCGGCACCTTCCATGCCCGAGACTGCTGGGGCCATCTTGGGCCCCCCCGCGGGCCCCTCCCTTAGTGGGCCCTGGAAACGACAGGGCCGTTTTTCTACCCGTTCCGCTTTGCCGTTTTCTTACCGGTTCCGACGCCGTTTTTTTACCGGTTCCATCGCCGTTTTTTGACCGGTTCCGGCTCCGGTTCCAATCCTGGAGCCGTTTTTTTGCCGTTTCCGGTCGCCGTTCTTTTCCGTTTCCATTTTCAAGGGGCATTTTTTTGGAAACGGTGAAAAAACGGCCCTGCCGTTTCCGTGGCCCACAAAGCCCTGGGCCCCTCCTGTGGCTTTCCTGGGGCTCTCTCGGGGCCATCTGGGAGGCCTTGGGGCGCTAGTTCGGCCATCTTGGAGGCCATCGATCAAAGAAGGGGGGGCGGCGGGCGTTACCAATTACGCCCCCCCCTTGCAGGCACAACCATGGCATCATGTTGGGGCCTTCTTAGAAAGCTCTTGGGGCACTCTTGGACGCTTTTGGTTTCCTCTTGGGCCCGTCTTGGGCCCCTCTTGGGGCTCTCCTTGGCCATCTCGGAGCCATCTTAAGGCCTCAGGAGCCCATCGGACGCGAACAGGCGAGAAGATACCACACATAGCTTGCCTATAGGTCTTGGACGGGCTTTGGCCTCTCGTGGGTCCTCGTAAGACGCCGTGGCCACTTGGAACAGTGTTGGGGGCGTTGTTGGGGCTTCTCGGAGGCATGTTGGACGCTATCTTGAACCATCTCGGGCTATATTGTGCGACCCTGGCCTGGGGCCTTCTTGGGGCCATCTTTGACGCTCTATCGCTGCGTGACGGGGTCCGCCCAGACCCATGGAGAGGGGGTCGGGGGAGAGGTAAACCTATCCCCGAGGGGGAAGAAGAAGGTTGGAATGACTAATGCGCTAAAGCACCTAAGTCCTAAAGGGCTCGTGGGATTACATTACCAGCTCGCATCTCAACACATGTTGGGCGTGGGTGGCATATCCAGCTGCCTGCGGCAAACCCCGCCAGAGGTAGGAACAGAGTATAGGAGAGAGAGCGTAGGGGAGAGAGTGCAGGAACAATGCAATTCCGACGACTAGTCTGAACTGGGACGGGTCGTGAACTCGATCTCGTCTTCGTCCGCGTGGTATGGGGGAGGTCGATCTCACGCCCCGTTACAGTTCAGCGAGCTGTCGAGTGGTCTGAAAGAGGCGGGTCGTGAATTCGATCTCATCTTCGTCCGCGCTGTAGGGAGGAGGAGAGGGAAACTGATGCGGAGGAGGAGAGCGGATGAGGCGGGTGATGATGATGATGATGATGAGGAGGAGGATGATGATGATGACGATGATGCTGATGATGATGATGATGATGATGGTGCTGATGTTGTTGATGATGATGATGGTACTGATGCTAATGATGCTGATGCTGCTGCTGCTGATGATTATTCTGATGCTGACGATGATGATGATGCTGATGCTGCTGTTGATGATGATGCTGATGATGATGAGTAATGACCATGCTTATGTTGATGATGATGGTGTTGATGATGATGCTGATGCTGATGCTGAGGATGATTGTGTTGAGGATGATGGTGCTGTTGTTGATGATGATGATGATGATGATGATGATGGTACTGATGCTAATGATGGAGAGAGCGTGATCCACCGCCGCTTTACTGTGGAAAATTGCCAACCTTTTCCTCCGGAACCCGGGGGTCGCCCCCCCCCCCCCCCCCTCCGAAATTCCCCCCCCCCCCCTGGAACCCCTGCCCCCCTCCCCCCCTCTCCCCCGGCAAAACCCCCCTCCCCTAACCCCTCCCCCACCCCCCCCTCCCTATCGAAAACCGGGGGGGTCACTACCGTTCGAACCCCCCCCCCCCCCCCCCCCCCCCTCCGGATCCGGAAAACTGGGGGGGCCACTACCGGTTCGACCCCCCCCCCCCCCCCCCCCCCCTACTCACCGCCAGCAAACGACTCCCGGTCCCCACCACCGTCCGCATCACATCCCCCACTGGTGTTCCCAGCACCACTGTCCTCACCACCGCTGTCCCCACTGGTTCCACCACCGCCCCTACTGTCCCCACCAGTGGCCCCACCACTGTCGCACTGTCCCCGCTGTCCCCAGAACTGTTCCCACCACGGTTCCACTCTCCCCACTGTCTCCACGGCCCCAACCACTGCCCGACTATCCCCACTGTCCCCACTGTCCCACTGACTCCTCCGCTGTCCCACTGAGCTGTCCCACTGTTCCCACCACTGTCCCCACTGTCCCCACCACTGTCCCCACTGTACCTCTGTCCCATTGTCCCACCGCCGTCCTCGCCACCGCCTTCACCACTGTCCCCACCACCATTGTACCCTCCACTGTCCCACTGTTTCCACCTCATTCCCATTGTCCCCACACCACTGTCCCCACCACCACCGTCACCACCACTGTCCACTGTCCCCCCCTGTTCCCACCATTGTCCCCACCACTGTCCCCACCACTACCGTCCCCACCACTGTCCCACTGTCCCACTGTCCCCACCACTGTCCCGCTGTCCCCTCACCACTGTCCCCACCAACACCGTCCCCACCACTGTCCGCACCCCCACTCGGTTTTCGAGGGGGGGGGGGGTTCGAACCGGTAGTGACCCCCCTCGGTTTTCGAGCTCGGGGGGGGGGGGGGGTTCGAAGCGGTAGTGACCCCCCCCCCTTTTCATGATGAGCTGGGGGGGGGGGAGGTTCGAACCAGTAGTGACCCCCCCGGGTTTTCCGGAAGGGGGGGGGGGGGGGAGGGGTTCGAACCGGTAGTGACCCCCCCGGTTTTTCCGCCAGCAGCGGTAGAACACGCTCTTTCTATTGATTGCTGATGCTGCTCTGCTGATGATGATTATCTGATGCTGACGATGAATGAGTTGTTGATGATGCTGCTGACGATGATGATGATTGATGCTGATGATGATACGCTGATGCTGAATTGATGCTAGATGGCGATGATTGATTGATGATGATGATGATGATGATGATGAATGATGATGATGCATGATGATCATGATGATACGATGATGGATGATGATGACGATGATGATGATGATGATGATTATGAGTTATGATATGATGATGATGACGATGATGATGATGATGAATGATGATGATGACCATGATGATGATGATGATGATGATGATGATGATGATGAGATGAGGGAGGATGAATGATGATGACCATGATTGAATGATGATGATGATGATGAGGATGATGATGATGATGATGATGATGATGATGATGATGATGATGATGATGATGATGATGCTGATGATGATGATGATGATGATGATGATGATGATGATGATGATGATGATGATGATGATGATGATGATGATGATGATGATTCGGAGGAGGACGATTGCAGTGTAGTGCTGGCACCCTTGAGGGTATGCATAACCCTGTGGAGGTTCTCGTGAAGGTTGAATGACAAACCTTCTGGTTACTGAGCCAGTGCAGGGGCTGTTGTTGGCACCTGGTGTCGGTGGATGGTATACGTGGTCAGCATACCCCGAGACAGCCACCTCTGTTCGACACATTAGGTTTGGAGGGGAGTGCTTCACGATAGCGCCTCTCGCCTCCTACCGTACAACTGATAGGTCATGATGCGACCGCCTGATCAGAGGAGTGGCTGGCATCTCCCAGAGTAGCGTCAGACGCTGGCTCTCTAACCCTGTAGGAGGGCCCGGGGCAGTTCACTGGGGGGCACAAGGCAGGGCGGCTTGCTACCCTAGTTGGGACATGTGCGCCCGCTACACCGCTGGGGGGATCGCCACCCTGGCGGTGACGGGGAGGGACCCTCTCCGCATCAGGGCACCATTGAGATCCGCTCTGCAGCAGGCCAGGACGCCACCGTAGGGTTGACAAAGTGGGACCCGCGCCATCGCATGTCGGATCGCCAGCCCAGAAGTGACACGGGTAGGCAGCTCTCAGGCAGGCCGGGTCGCCCCCTCCCCAGGGTGGACGGGGCGGGCTCCTCTACTGCCGCCGATGTTTCCGCTGTGAGGTGCCGAGAGGGACACCCTGGCGGCTTCCGGGGGGAACTTGTCCACAGCTTGGCACCTTTCCACTCGAGGGGTGACAAGGGGGGCCCTGCTCCATCTCGGGTTCCACCGAAGGCCCCAGTGGGGGTGCCGACATGCGTCCGCCACACCCAGTACAGCGCTTCGTGGCTTCATTTTGAGCTCCACATAAGGCCCTTGTGGGACCGCCCGCATGCGTCTGCCACACCCAGTAAAGCGTTACGTGGCCCCCAGGGAGCTCCACCGAAGGCCCCAGTGGGGGTGCCCGCATGCGTCCGCAACACCCAGTAAAGCGCTTCGTGGCCCCATAGGGAGCTCCACCGAAGGCCCGAATGGGGGTGCCCGCATGCGTCCGCCACACCCATACAGCGTTTCGTGGCCCCATAGCGAGCTACACCGAAGGCTCCAGTGGGGGTGCCCGCATGCGTCCGCCACACTCAGTACAACGTTTCGTGGCCCCATATGTAGCTCCATCGAAGGTCCTGGTGGGACCGCCCGCAAGCGTCCGTCACACCCAGTCAGCGTTTCGTGGCCCCATACGGGGACTTAACGAAGGCCCCAATGGCACCGCCCGCATGCGTTTCCACAACGCACTACAGCGCGTCGTGGCCTTACAGGGAGCTCCACCGAAGGCCCCAGTGGGACCACCCGCATGCGTCCCCCCACCCATTACCGCACGCCCTATCACGCCTTGCGTGTCCCACCGAAAGCGACACCCACAACGCGTTTTTCACAATTACATATGGTTGTGTTTTTCGCCCAGCTGATTTTAAAAAAAGGAAGGTGTGCGGTTCCAAGGCGAGAGCCACATTTTGAAAACGGGCCGCCCTCAATCTGTGAAGCCCTTGCAAATTTTGAAAACGAATGTGCGCGGCGCTAAGGCGCGAGCCACATTTTGAGAACGGGTCGCCTTCAATCCGTGAAACGCTTGCAAATTTTGAGAACGAATGTGCGCGGCGCTAAGGCGAGAGTCACATTTTGAAAACCACCTGCCCTCCATCTGTGAAACTGTTGCCGGTTTTTCAGCTTCAGAGTTATACTAGGTGAGGAAGTCTCAGGGGAAACGCCCGGCCCGCGCTCAAAACTGGCCTCGGGGTACGACAGGGAGAAGTTATTCATATGGACAATGAATGGAGGAAAAGGAGGAAGAGGAGGAGTAGGAGGAGGAGGAGGAGCAGGAGGAGGAGGAGGAGAAGGAGGAGGAGGAGGGAGGAGGAGGAGGAGGAGGAGGAGGAGGAGGAGGGAGGAGGCGGAGGAGGAGGAGGAGGAGGAGGAGGAGGAGGAGGAGGAGGAGGAGGAGGAGGAGGGGGAGGGGGAGAGGGAGGAGGAGCAGGGGAAGGAGGAGGAGGTGGAGGAGGAGGAGGAGGTGGAGGAGGAGGAGGAGGAGGATGGGGGCCCCAAATGGTGTGGTGACCACACCGTCTGGTGAGTCAGTGCGGATTCGTGCTGACCTCACGGTTGTAGAACTTGGGTCGTTCTCCGAGGACGTTTCGGGCCCCCGAAGAGGATGGGCACAGGAAGCCCTCACCCAGAGCGCGGGGAAACGCCAGCGCAATCACCCACGTACAGACCCACAGGCCCGTATGCTCACTCCCTGCGATTCCTGTTGCGTGCCGGTTCGGCTTCTGAATGGCGTCGACCTCGACTCCGTGCTCCGTCTGCCCCGAACCCGTCGAACAATGCTGCATCGTTTTATCGATGCTGCGGCTTGAAGGCTCCTCGCAAGAACCTCATAAGGATGGTGGCGCGTCTGGGTAGACATCCCGAAATAGGAGTCAATGGACCGGTCCTCGCCAGGAGGATGAAAAGAAGGAGGATGGATCCAGTCCAGATTAAACTCCTGAATGGATTGGTGCCTTGAGCATGGGGGCGACTTGTAGATTCCCCGGTCTTCGACTTACCCCAGCCTGGCAATTCTGCAGGCAACCGTGTTGCGTACTTCATATTTCTCTAGGTATCCCTTCTCATTGTGATCCCCCGCCTCGTTCTAGTCGTTGCCGTCGTCCTCTTCCTTCTCTTCCTCCTCTCCCCCCTGCCCCCCTTCTCATCCCCCTCTCCCCTCTCTTCCCCCCCTCCCCTCCCTCTCTCCGCTACCTGCTACCCCGTATGATGATCCATCCTGCCAGCCCTCGGCAATGCCAGGGGGCATGTCGGTTCTGGGCTGCGCGCTTGGCACTGGACTCGGAGGGCATGGCGGTTTCGGAAAGACGGTGAGCGGATCATAGTTGGCCGAGGAGTTGCGATGCAGTGGGCTCCTCCCTGCAGTCCCCTCCTCCCCCCTCCCCCTGCTCCTCCTCCCTCCTCTTCCCCTCCCCCAGAGCGCGGACCGGCGCATAACTTAGTCTTCTCCTCCTCATCGTCTAGGTGATGTGGTGTCGCGTCGTGCCCCATGTTGGCACTTCCTCCTTCTCCTGCACCTCTCTCAGCTGCTGCTCCCGTGGATCGACGTTGAGAACGTCGTTGCCCTGAATGAGGATACGCCCAACACGGGCAAACGCGTTTTCCGCATATACGACGACAGGCTGGACGACGAGAAGCTGGTGGAGTGCCCCGAGGATGGCGGCATGACGGGGAGGGGGGCATGGAGCGAATGAGAAGGCGAGGCACCAGCAAGTGAGGTCGCAGGTGGCCTCCTGGACAGTCGGGAGAGTTCTGGTTTGCTTCCTGAGCCCCCCCCCGAGGCCGCTTGAAAGCATCTTTGGGCCACGTGACGCAAAGAGTCTGTAGTTGTTGTGCCCACGATCTTCGCTTCTCGGGGGCCTTTGGCGGAGCCGACTTGGAGTCTCTTGTGGCGTATTAGGCTCATCGTATCGGGGCCTCCTTGGGGCACTGTCCGAGCCAAGTGTTGTTACCCGGGCCCTCTTGGAGCCGTCTTGGGCCATCTTGGAGCCATATTGGGGGCGATTCGGGATTCTACCGAGCCTCATCGGAGCCCCCATGAGGCCTCCACGAGAATGAATAGGCGGATGCTTGCGCCAGCCGACGGACTGCGCGAGTGCCCTCCCTGCATGCGCTGAGCATACGAAGGTCCCTCTCACAGGAACCTGCCAGACCACCTCAAGCCTGACATTTCTGCGGCCCGCAGGGGGCCTCCGCAATGAGCCTGCAGAGCGGGAGTGACGGCGGCCCCCCCCTCCAGGGGGGAAATTAGAAAACACATCGGCCCTTCAGTAAGCGTGCGGGGGTATGGCCTCGACGTGCGTGCCGCCGACCACTCGGGCGTGTCCCGAGGCCCCAGGAGAGGCCTCTCGGATGACTGTGGGGATCGTGGGCACTGTGGGGATCGTGGGCCTCTCGGGAGCCTCTCGAGGGCCTCTGGGGGCCTGATCTGGGCCTCTCGAAGGCATCCTGGAACCTCTTGGGGGCTGCTAGGGGGCCTGCTGACTGCCTCGGAGGTCGTCTTGTCAGGCGATCGCAACCATGGATCAAGGGGGCGCGGATTAGCGACGGGTCCTGTTTCCACGGGAAATCTCGGATTTCCGCCGCCGAACGAGGCGGCACTGGCCGCATTTTGGGGAGGACACCTCCCCCGATCCATGGAGTTGGAGACCGCGCGCCAAATCCATGGATCGCTAATCAATGTTTGCGCGCCCCCGATCTTGGGGCGGAGAGCTCGACATATCGCTTCGTGTCCCCCCTCTGGGCCTCATCTAGGGCCTTTCATGGGGCCCGCTTGGGCCCTCTTGGGGGCCCCTTTGCCGCAAGGCAGAAGCTGCCGTGCGGCCACACGACGCACAAACGTTGCATCGTGACCTTCCGCTCGCACGGCGCCACGGACCCCACGGGCCGCTGGCAGAGAGCTTGCCCGCTCTGCAGGAAGGTCACGGCCGAGGCCGAGAGTTTAATAGATTGGTGTGACCGCACCTCCATCCAGGAGCTTCTCGAACTTGCTGCCCTGCACGACGCCCATGGAGAGTCCGGGAGGGCCAGGCGTCGGACGGACGCCTTGAGTCTTGACCCCTTCAATCTCGAGGTTGCCTGCAGCTTGGCATGGTGCTACAACAAAAGGAGAAGGTGTGGCGCAAGACCGAGACAGTCAGTGCCAGGTCTCTCGGGGAGTCCGCGCACAGCCGCGGGCATCCGAGGACTGCGCACAATCTCGGGGTCAGCAGCTACGCGGATGGAAACATGACGCAGGCCCTTACAGTTTTTAACGGAGGCACTCCAGGCTGGATGCCTAGCCTCTGCCAATGACCTCGGCGCTCTGTATCTGGAGTGAGGAGGGTGGCAAAATGCCGTCAAGATCTTCCAGGAGGGTCGCGGTCAATACGATACGATGTGCGCATTGAATCTCGATTGTTGTTGCTTCCCGTAGACGCCGAGTCTAAATCCGAGTAAGCGGTCGTGTTCAGCCAGGAGGCTCGCTTGGGGGGCGTGCCAAAGGTTTCGCTCAATCTCGGCGTTGTCTACGCGAAGCGAGGCGAGGACGAATCTCCATGGAGTGCTACGATGAGGCACGGCGTGGCGATCATGACGACCCAGCGGTTTTGTTCGACGCTGGCGGCTTGCTCTGTACAGTGCCGTTTTCAATGCATGCCGTTTTCAATGCAGGGCTTTAGTATTAAACACAACGATGAGTTCATGAATTATTTCATTCATAAAATATGCACGCATTACAAATCCTATATTTTTCAAAACAACCCTCTCTATATATAAATATAAAAAACTACCCTGTAGGTACGGGCACCTTGATGATACCGTTTGTGCTCGACGAACAAAAGCGCGGTCGGCTTGGCCGCCTCTACGCGTCCTGCGTGCCTGGAAGGATCTACGCAGACGACTGCGATCTGTCGACCGCCACGGAGCGGCTCGTTTCGTCCGAAGGCGGCGCGGCGGGGCGGCTTCCAGAGCGTCGCAGGTCCTTCTTCCTCCTCCTCCTCCTTCTCCTCCTCCTCCTCCTCCTCCCTCTCCTCCTCCTCCTGCCTCTCCTCCTCCTCCTCCTCCTCCTGCCTCTCCTCCTCCTCCTCCTCCTCCTCCTCCTCCTCCTCCTCCTCCTCGTCCTCCTGCCTCTCCTCCTCCTCCTCCTCCTCCTCCTCCGGTGTCCTGCTGAATGGTCAGATCTGCTCACTCACGACGTATGACATCCAGGCGGCGCGGTTGGCTGTTGCGCCGGCAGGCCGGTCGGAGCCGAGGGCTGTTCTGTCGGCCAGCTGGCGGCCGATTGACGGACCCTCTATGTCCAGCGTCAGCCAGCGATGGTCTGCGATCGCTGCGGGGAGTGCTCTGTGAACAGAAACTGGGACACTTCAATTTGTATAGAAAGCCGCCAGAGGCGCTATTGCTGCGTGCTCGTTTTTGGAGCGTCGTCGACTCGAGATGTTGCATATAGAAAGCAGGTGTACAGCATTTATTGGACGACACGCGTGCCAATTTTAAGCTCCGAGTCGTGATGATTGCATTCGTGTACAACACGATTCTCGGGAAATCGTATACAAGATGGTAGTTTCCACGAGTTGATGATACGCTTTCCACTGTCCACCGCCAGCGGCTGCGGGGCTGGCCAGATGGACGGTTGTGTGACCAGCGGGCGATCTTGCAGACCGGCTGGCTAGCTGTCTGGCTGGCTGGCAGTGGCCGGCCAGCGGTCGGCGGTTGTTGGCCGTAGAGCGTTCATAAAGACAGGGTGGGAAGCAGATGTAAGATCAGTCGTTCTTCCAAACTCTGTCGTGCGCCTGTTGCCTAGGGTCAGGGGGGCGCATCAACGGCTCCAGCTCTCTGTGGCTCAACCTTCCTGCGCGGGTCTGCCACTTTTTGCTCCTTCAGTGCTGGGCGCGCGTGTGTCACAGGACGCGGGTGCGGAGCGTCAGCGCTCAATGGGCAGACTTGTCTTGGGCCGTGCCTCTGCCGCTGTGTGTCATCCATTCTTGGGGGATGCCTGGATGCCTTCGTCGTGTGTCTGTCCTTGCTGTCAGTGTTGGCCCCCTTCCCAGAGCAGGACCAGGAGGAGGAGCAGAGGACGAGGAGGATCTGCTGATCAAGGTTCTATGGGAAGAGGAGGAGGAGGAGGAGGAGGAGGAGGAGGAGGAGGAGGAGGAGGAGGAGGAGGAGGAGGAGGACCAGTGTAAACCCAAGGCTCATCAACGATGTTGGAATAAACCCTCCCTCCGAGCTCCCTCTCCATAGGCCCCTACAAAGGTTCATTTCCACTGAGGGAACTGCCTCGTTGGGAGAACCGCTTGAAGACCCTGAAGCATGCCCCCAAAAAGCATTCTCGGGACTCCAACGCCACGTTTCAACCTGACTGTTGCGTTTTGACGATCCTGAATCGTGCCAGAACGCCGTTCCTGGGACGTCAACACCGCGAATCAACTTATCTGTTGTACCCTCACAGTCCTAAATCCTTCCGGAGCATCACTTCTGGTACGTAGGCCGTGGGAGTCCGTGAAATTGTTGCATTTGTTCCAATGTGCGCGGCGCTGAAGCGAGAGCCACATTTTGAAAACAAGCCGCCATCAATCCGTGAAACTCTTGCGAATTTTGACAAAGAATGTGCGCGGCGCTAAAAAGAGAGGCACATTTTGAAACCGAACCGCCCTCCATTTGTGAAGCCGATGTCGACTTCATGGCCTCAGGGTCATAAGTGGTGAGGAAGTCTCAGGCGAAACGCCTGGAAAAGGAATGGAGGAGGCGGCAGAGGAGAAGGAGGAGGGAGGAGGAGGGGGAGGAGGAGGAGCAGCAGGACGAGGAGGAGTAGGAGGAGGAGGAGGAGGAGGAAGAGGAGGAGAGAGGAGGAGGAGGAGGAGGAGGAGGAGGAGGAGGAGGAGGAGGGGCGGGGAGGAGGAGGAGGAGGAGGAGGAGGAGGAGGAGGAGGAGGAGGAGGAGGGGGGGAGGGGGGGGAGGGGGGGGAGGAGGAGGAGAGGATGACGAGGAGGAGGAGGAGGAGGAGGAGGAGGAGGAGGAGAGGACGAGGAGGAGGAGGAGGTGGAGGAGGAGGACGAGGAGGAGGAGGAGCAGGAGGAGGAGGAGGAGGGAGGAGGAGGAGGAGGAGGGGAAGGAGGAGGAGCTGCCCGACGAGCCAGGGCGAGGAGGAGCTGCTGGTGCAGGTGCCCTTCACTTCGCCGGTGAAGGCGCGCCGGCCCGCGCCGCCGCCCCCCATGCCCGAGTCGTTCGGTGCGTGGCGCTGGCCATTGGCGTCTAGCCTTAAGTCGGGCCTGTCCTTTTACAGGGGGACGATTCAAAAGCTGTAGAAGAATGGTCTGGGTACCATTTTGTGAGCATCTTTTTCACATTTGTGTGGATATGTTTTTCCCGCGCCGCCGCCTCCACGCCCGAGTCGTTCGGCGCGTGGCGCGGACCATTGGCGTCTAGCCTTAAGTCGGGCCTGTCCTTCTACAGGGGGACTTTCGACGACAAATTATAAACATGTGCAAACATAATCAACACAAATCATAGGAAAATCGCCCCCAGGCTATAGTTCTACCATTCTTGAATATGCCTCCTGTATAGGGACATGCCCGACGTAATTTTATGTCGGGCCTGTCCCCCTACAGGGGGATTTTGAAAAATACAAGATCCCCCCAAAATAATCAGAAAATAGTCCACAAATCGTCTGGGGATTATTTTTGGAGTATTTTTTTGGCCTTATTGGGGTATTTTTGGGGTGTATTTTTTATTTTTCGTCGAAAATCTCCCTGTAGGGGGACACGCCCGACATAAGTCTAGCCTTAAGTCGGGCCTGTCCTTCTACAGGAGGACGACTCAAAAATAGTAGAAAAATAGTCCAGGTACAATTTTCGGAGATTTTTTTCAATACTTGTGAATATTACTTTTGGGGGGTATTTGAGAGTTTTCGTTCACAATCCCCGTGTAAGGGGACATGCCCGATACAGCCTCTCTTCGAGCATGCTCGAAGAAGGGACAGTATAGACATAAACCTCCAGAGCTCCGCGCGGATTTCTTGAATCGGCGCCGGGCCCCCCCCCCCCCACGGCGCCTCTGGCGCCGCCCCTGACGCGCTACGCGCGCCAGGGGAGAGGGGCCCCGCGCCGATCCAGGAGATCCGCGCGGAGCTCACAGGATGTATGTCTATGCTGGCTCTTCCCAGGCAGTGCTTGCTCTTATACTTGCGGAATCAGGAGCTGGCCCTGACAGTCGGTCTGGCGCCTATGTTGCCGCCGCCGCCTCGTCGCGGCCTCGTCGCCGCCTCGCCGCCGCCCATCGTCTGGGCCTCACGGTCGGTCTGGCGGCTATGTTGCCGTTGTCCCCGCCCCGTCGCAGACCCGTCGCGGCTCGTCGTCTGGGCCTGCCTGGCGGTCTGGCGGCTATGTTGCCGCCGTCGCCGCCCCGTCGCCGCTTCGTCGCGGCCTCGCCGCATAGTTGCACCACGTAGGTTGCACCACAGAGATTGCACCACGTTGCGCCACGTAGGTTCGCATTCCACAAAGAGTGTTACGATCACCCCCCCGCTGGACTTGTCGGTCCCCCCAGGGGATGTGCAACTTACACATGATTCTTCCCCATCGTCCATCCGAAATATTAACTAATACCATCCCAGGCAGGCATGCATTCCCCCATTGTTTGCAAACTTACTACACGCGCGCACTCGTACCATCAGTTTTCGAGAGTCCCTTGCAAAGGTCGGGACGAAGTGCACACGCGCGCGCGTCATCGCGAGCGCATGCCGACATCGTGTGAAACATTTCAGGTTCGTCAGGATTTCAAAAGCGAGTGCCACGAAACTTCATAAACACATGGTTTCGCAACGAGGATATCCCAACAACAACCTGCGCTCGTGCCCTTGCACATCATCAAACAACCCGTTTATATATATATATATATATATATAAGAAGCCAGCTTCATAACATGCTACCACACGGGCCTCTCGCGCGCGCGTGTCGAAATCGTTTGGACGCCCTTGCGCGCGTGCTGTCGCAGGACTCCCTTGCAAACAATAGCGGACGAAGTGCACACGCGCGCGATTACGCGCACGCACGCGCACGCGCGCGCGTGCGGAAGTTTTCCAAATCCGTTGATTTCGTCACAATTCCAAAAAAAAACGAGCGTCCCGAAACCATTCCATATAAACGCACATGGTTGTGCAGCAAGAGTTCTCAATTAAGCCTGCGCGCGCGCTCTTGCGTTTATATGTATATATATATATATATAGATATATGTGTATATATATATATATATATATGTGAATACATACGCGAGAACCATAGGCTCAAGCTTATGATCATATTCTGCCACAAGCGAGCCTCTCGCGCCGCATGCCGAGCTCATCAGAACGCCCTTGCGCGCGTGCTGGGGGGGCACGACCCTTGTCAAATAATACTATTCGGGCCACTCGCGCGCGTCGGCCGCGTGCGCATGTCGAACTCCTTCCACAACCCTCATCACCGACTCGAGGACATCGACATTGTTATCGGCCTGCGTGGTCAACATCGGTGCCATCAATGGCTTTGTCGTCCTCATCGCCACCATCGCCGCTACTTTCATCATCGTGTCTACCGTTGTCCGCGTCGCCATGGTACCGCGCCCGCCCAAGTCACCGACTCGCACTAGAGTGCCCGTTGGGAAATTCCCAGTAGTCAGCGCCACCGCGGCCGCGTCGGTCGCCTCGCACTAGTTGGCTGCATCGCGCGCGAGCATGCGCGGGTTAGCGCGGCCGCATTGGTGCCCCAGCCAACGCCAAGCACTGATCGCAATCGCCCTCGCATGGGTTTTGCAAACCAAGTTGCGGGTGGGTGGGTGGGTGGGACGATTGCACGAACAGTGGTTTTTATAACTAATTGCGAGCACTGGGGCCTGCACCGAGTGGTTCTACCACGTAATTTGTACAGCATAGATCGCAAGACAGAGTTTGCACAACAGAGGTCGCAGCATTCGCATAGCACCACATATTGTGCACAATCTAGATCGCAACGCGTGTGTGTCACAACATAGGTCACACTATAGTCCTGTATGTGCATACGTACATATATATATATATATATATATATATATGTATGTGTATATGTTGCACCTCGCACAAACTAAATTCCTTTCTAAAGGGGAGATCGGTACTACCACCCTCCCCCCCAGGGGTAAATATTCACTTTTCCGTATTGCAATTTACGCACGATTCGGACCCAATGTCCATCCTACCTGTGCGCTCATACTATCCCAGCCCCCCCCCCGCCATCCTCCGCAACAAACATTATGCGCGCACTCGTTTATCAAACATCCTAAGTTTCCATGAGTCCTCTGCAACAGATTTGACGAAGTGCACACTCGTGCGTCGTCGCGTGCGCATACCGCAATCCTTCAACAATGTCCGGTTCCGGAAGGTTTTTCAAAGTCGAGTGTCACAATCCAAGAAAACACAGGGTTTCGCAACACGGATGTTCAAAAAACACGTGCGCGAGCGCTCTTCCGAATTCTTGAGCAAACCTTTGGTTTTTGCAGCATTTTCAGAACATGCTATCAAACGGGCTCCGCGCGCGCATGTCGTTCGGACGCCCTTGCGCGCGTGGCGTCGCGAGAATCCTTTGCAACAGCTAGCTAGGGCGAAGTGCCCGCGAGCGTCGTCGCGCACGTATGCCGAAATCCTTCAAACATCTTCGGTTTCGGAATGATTGCAAAACCGAATGTCCAAAACACGTGTAACACCCACAAGGTTTCGCAATATCAGTTGTCAAAGAAGCGTGCGCTCGCGCTCTTCCGAATTCTTGAGAAGCATCGTTTTTTTTAAACATGTTCATGGGATTCTGCCGAGCGGGCCTTTCGTGCCGCATGCCGGAATTATTCGCACGCCCTTGCGCGCGTGCTGGGGGGGGCGCGATCCGCTTCAAATGGTACCACGCTGGCCACTCTCGCGCGTCGGCCGCGCGCGCATGTCGAATTCTTTCCAAAGCGTTCATCGCTGACGCGAGGGCGCCGGCATCGTCGTCGGCGTGATCAGCACCCGTGCCGTCACTGGTCGTGGTCGTCGCCGTCAGCATCGGCGCCAACATTGCTACTATCATCGCCGTGTGTACCGTTGTCGGCGTTGCCTTGATACCGCGCCCGCCCAAGTTGCCGATGCGCATTGAAGTGCCCGCTGGGATGAGCCCAGCGTTCAGCGCCACCGCGGCTGCGTCGGCCGCGCCAAAGTGCATGCGCGCGCGTATGCGCGGGCTGTAGCGGCCGCAGAGATGCACCAACCAGTGCCGAGCACTCATCACCATCGCCGCCGCACGGGGTTTGCAAACCAAGCTGCGGGTGGGTGGGTGGGATGTTTGCGCGAGCAGTGGAGTGGACAACCTTCAGTTGAGCATTGATTCAGTGCACCACGTAGATCGCACCGCATGTGTTGCGCCGCATGGATTGCACCACGTATTCCTTCTTTACAGGAGTAATAGGATTCCCCCCCTGCCACCTGGATGTATCATCCCCCCATGGGGTATTGCCATTTACATGTGTGTTTGCCCAATCGTCCGTCCTACATGTGAACTCATTTTTGTTCACGCTTCGCGTATCCCCACCAACCCATTTAGAAACCCTGCCCATGAGAGCTGACGGGAAAGAGGAACGAAAAGACACATTTAGGGAAACACAGCGAGCAACCAGGGTGAACTGAGAGATCTCTGGGAGCAAGGGGGTGGTCTTGGAAGGCCTCTTCGGGCCATCCCTGGGGGCCGCGTGGGGGCGAGGGGAAGAGGAGGAGGAGGAGGACCAGGAGGTGGTTGTGGACAAGGGGGAATAGGAGGACGAGGACGCGGATGAGGACGAGGACGAGGAGGACGAGGACCAGGATGAGGACGACGCTGACGAGGACTCATGAAACCATCTAGATAGGTATTCTTGCGGCTGCTTCTGCTGCTGGTGCTCTCTGGGAGTTTTGGGGGCCCTCTTGGAACCCTCTTGAGATCATCTTGGATGCCATCGATTACAGGATGGCCCACCCCGCGCCCACAGAAGCAAACTGAAATCGCAGGCACCGGCGCGAGCGGGGAGGGGGCGGGGGGAGCGTCTTGCCCCAGGGCGACGTGCGTTACGCCGATGGTGACCAAGATGTGCGATGGCCAAGATTCAGGAGGGGAGAAAACACACACAGACACAATTAATCGTCGATGCCCCAGAACATGTGGGAAAATATGGGAAGTGGGGGGGAAGACAAAACCCAGAACATATGGGAACATATGGGGAATCCTGTTATTTGTGTCGATTTATTTGTGTGTCCCAGGGCCCCTTCAAAGGTAGACGTTGACTGAGATGGACGATGAACGATGCGTTTCGTCGATTGTGCGTTACGGTGGACATTGGCCAAGGCGGACGATCCGTTACGTCGACGATGGCAATGCGATGCGTCCACAACGGACGATGCGTTGCGTTGGCCAAGATGGACGATGCGGCCGAGGGAAGTTAGCCAAGATGGACGATGCGTTACGTCGATGATGACCAAGATGGACGATGGACGTTTCCACGTTCGCTCTTGGTTATGAGCAGGGTTTCCTTTCCCTCTTGTACCCTCTTCAACCCCGTGATTTTCCGACGGCAGGGGCTCGGAACGCTGAAGAGCTGGCCGTCGTCATGTTGTCGCGATGCCCAGAGATTTTCTCGGCTTGTCCTCCAGTGCGTTTTGGTCAGTATTCCGAGTTGCATCTGGCCATTGCGACAAGGTCGCTCCTGGAGGCCGACAATATATTGAACCTATTCCAGAGCCCTTGACGCTTGATCCTACTCCGGCTCGACCTCCTCAGCCTCCACACTTCTTCTTCGGTAGCATCTCATGTGAGCTTCGTTTGCCCTCGGGATTCTGTTTCTAGAGTGCGTGAGCCTGCGCTGGAGTCTAGTAACCGATGGGAAGTCGCCGATGTAGCATCGACTAGCGTCGATGTAGCGTCGATTAGCGTCTGCCAGCGTCGGTTCGCAAGAGCCAGCAAGATGACGTGGGGGGCTCCCGGGAGCTGCCACAGAAGCTCTCAGCCTCCCAGGCGGGCTCCGAGCAGATGGTGTCGAAGGATCGTTCGGCTATGCAGCTCGCTGTGGAGCCAGAGTTCCGCCGCGCCGACGGCGCCGATCAATCGCCGACGCCGCGGATGCATCGCGATGCGTTGGCCGTGCGGCGCGATTCTCCGACCCCATCTGCGCGGACCTTCGCTGCCCCGCTGCGCCCGCTCTGAAGCGCAGCACGCGCCGTGTTCGAAACTTCCGTGTCAACACGCCTCGTGTCGGCTCCACACGCTGGCACACGCCCTAACGAACGTGCGGCGCCAGACCTATGCTTTCCGTCTACGTGTTGAGCTCCGTGTGAAAGCGCGTTCCGGGTTGGGCATCGTTTCCTTATTTGTTGTTTTGCCCATCGGCGCGGGCCCTCGCCCCCCCATTCCCCTCCTCTCCCATGGAGTAGTAGATCTTGGCTGTTTCTGGCGCCTGTTTCGAGCAAGTGGAGTTTCCCTCAGGACGCACTGTTGCAAACAGTCGCGCTAAGCAGAGGTCCGGCGCCAGACCCCCCCCTCGCCCCCCCCCTTCCGCCCAATGCCTAAACGCCGAAAGAAAACGTTCAATCGTGTATTGCGTATCGGGCAAGCTGCGCTGCGGGCAGGTCGGGCGGTTCCCGGTGCCGGCGGGAGGAGGAGGAGGCGGAGGAGGCGGAGGCGGAGGAGGAGAAGGAGGAGGAGGCGGAGGCGGAGGCGGAGGCGGAGGAGGAGGAGGAGGAGGAGGAGGAGGAGGAGGCGGAGGCGGAGGCGGAGGAGGAGGAGGCGGAGGCGGAGGCGGAGGAGGAGGCGGAGGAGGAGGAGGAGGAGGAGGAGAGGAGGCGGAGGAGGAGGAGGAGGCGGAGAAGGAGGAGGAGGAGGAGGAGGAGGAGGCGGAGGCGGAGGCGGAGGAGGAGGAGGAGGAGGAGAAGGAGGAGGACCCCTCGGGGCGGGCGCGGCGCCGGGCGGGCTTTTGCCAGATCACCGGGCTGACCGTCATCGGCGGCGACCAGGGCCGCGCGCCCGCCAGGAGGGGAGGGCGGGCCAGGCACGGGTGCTGCCTGCGGAGCGGCCATGCTCCTTCCAGGAGGAGAAACAACACACAGACACAATTCATCGTCGATTTCCCAGAAAAGATGGGAAAATATGGGCAGTGGGGGGGAAGACATAAACCCAGGAAAGATGGGAAACTATGGGGAATCCTTTTGTTTGCGTGTATTTATGTGTGTGTATTGTGTTCCAGGGTCCCTTCATTCTTGGGCGCTGCGGAGCGGCCATACTCCTTTTCAGGAGTAGAAAATTATTCCAGTGCGACCCTACCTGGGAGTTGGAGGATCTAGGAAAGCAGCATCTATATGAAGCTAAGTTAGGCTAAGACGAAGCTAAGCTAAGATGAAATAAGCTAAGCTAAGATGAGATAAGCAACGCTAAGCTAAGGGAACGTCACTGGGGGAACCGCGGGGCGGATACCGGGGGAACCGTCAGGGGCGAGTTGCACTGCCCGGCCCTTTAAGCATACCGAGTAAGAACCCTTCTAGGCAGAGCCTAGGTAGGGAAAAACACACAGACACAATTCATCGCCGATTTCCCAGAACATATGGGAGAACATGGGCAGTGGGGGGGAAGACAGGAACCCAGAAAGTATGGGGAACTATGGGGAATCCTTGTTTTATTTGCATGTATTTATTTGTGTGTCGCAGGGCCCCTTCATCCTTGGGCGCTGGCGTGAGCAGGGCGGGGCGTGCCGCCCTCAGTACAGTCAGCCCGCATGCTGCGGATGGGCATCCTTCCCACGCGTACCCCTGGCATCCCTGCCGCCTCGGTCAATCCTTGGTCACTTGCGTTTGCCGTGCCCCGTTTGAGAAGCCTCGAAGTGGCCTTCCACTGCCCTTGCATCCCTATCGCGCAACCTTATGCTTGTGGAAGACGGTTAATGGAGAGGAAGCGTGTTGCCAAATAATTTCCAGATATCTGAAACATGTTTGAAACATGATTTACAAATGTAAAAACATGTTTGAAACAATTTTAGAGCATGTTTTACACATTTTATGCACATGTTTGATAGGACTGTTAGAGTGTCCATTGTCATGGCATCCACAACCTTATGCCACAGGCCGGCTGTACTCTGGGCGATGGCGCGAGCAGGGCGGGACGTGCCATCCTGAGTATTTTCCAGGCTCCTCTGATGCCGGTTTCTGCCCCGCGCTGCCGCCGCTGTCTCCGAGCCATGCCTCTGTGGAAACATACCCGCCCTGGCCTGTCCGAGGGAGGCCTGCGAAGGGCCTCTTTGCCTCTGGGCCTCTCGGGGCCTCCTCGGCATCATAGCCCTCGCTGGGAAGTGCCTACGTGGCGCGGCGTTCCGTTCTCCCGGGGCCGCACCTTGCAGGCGGGGCCTCGCGCAGGCGGGCGGGCTCTGCGTGGGCATGCCATGCCGTCGGGCAGCAGACATGTCTCTCCAGCCTGGCAGCGGCCGATCGCTTCCGCCGGCACGCGGCAGCGCTCAGTGGAGCAGCTTGGAACGAGCGCTCCTACGCCACACGCAGCGCTGACCACAAGTTCCACATCTGCGACCGGGGGCCCCGGCCCGCCGGAGGCGGAGGAGGAGGAGGAGGAGGAGGAGGAGGAGGAGGAAGAGGAGGAGGAGGAGGAGGAGGAGGAGGAGGAGGAGGAGGAGGAGGAGGAGGAGGACGGCGGACTCAGGCGCGTCTCGCCCTGCCTAGCCTCTCGGTTGGTTGGGTTATCTTCGGCGTGGGCGCAGACCCGAGCGTCGGGCAGCGCCTGCCTCGCAGGACCGGGGCAGCCGCCTCTGCCTCGCGGCGCCGCGCGGGCGCCTGCCCTCGTCCGCCCCGCGCGTGTCCTCGTTGCGCGACGGGTCGGTGCTCCTGCCAGATGGGCCCCTGGAGTATGCTTATCGGCGGCGAGCGAGGGGGAGAAGTGAGGAGGGGCGGGCCTTCTCAGAAGCCTCGGAAAAGTCCCCCGGCCTCCTGAGAAGTTTTTTGTAAGCCCTCCCCGAAGACAGGCGAAGCTTCTCGGAAGGCGCGAGGGCCTCTGAGACGTCCCGCCGCCGCCGCCGATCCTCCCATTCTCGTTCTCATTTCTCCTCCTCGCCGTTCTCCTTCTCCTCCTCCCATTCTCATTCTCGTCCCGCCGCCGCCGTTCTTCGGAGGAAGCCTTCTCCTCCTCACTTCCCCCCCCCTCGCTCGCCGCCGATCTGAGGTCGGGACCCGTCTGGCGGCGCCTTGTCGCTCGATAGCCCAACGGGCGGGGCGAGAACGCCGGGCCCGGCGTTGCGGCGGGCGTCGTTCTGGGTGCATCCGGCACGCTGTGTGAGGTTGGAAACTCAGCTCGGGAGACTCTCCATGGGGGGGGATCCCATGGGATCCCCCCCCTGGGATCCTATCCCCCCATGGGATCCCCCCCCATGAAGAGTCTCCCGGTCAGCACGGGTGCGGTGGATCCGACGTCCGGGGGAGATCCGCTTCCCCAGACCTCGGGCGATACGATCTTTTGCCAGCCGGCGAGTTTCTCCTCCATTCTGGCCACCGGGGGCCATCCTCGATCAGTGCCACCTTAAAACGGGTACTCGTTCACGGGTACTCTGGAACATTGCCGACAATTGCCGCTTTAGGGCCTCTTTTTGGCATTGCAGCGTTGCCCACATCGGGGAGGATTGGGTTCGCCCGGTCACTGGCCAAAGTACCCGTTGGTGCAGTCCCCATGAGGAAGGCGCTGTATACGTATACGTATACAGCGCCGGATCTCAATATATTGAGCTCCGGGAGCTCAATATACGTATACGTGGTCCCGGAGCTCAATATATTGAGCTCCGGGACCATGAGACACGGATCAGGGACGAGGAGCAACCCCAGGTGAAGCGGCCGGGACTCGTGGGGCCAAGCCGCCCCCCCTCCCCAATCCTCGAGATCCTGGCGTCGCCAGTGCTTCAAGCTTGACGGGCCCGCTTTGCTTCGGGCCCCAGTTCGGGCCCCAGGGCCCTCGCGGATCGATCCGGCTCGAGGACTGCCGCAGGAAGGTGGAGTTTGGGGCTCCAGATTCAGGAGGGGAAAAAACGCACAGATTCAATTAATCGTCGATCCCCAGGAAAATATGGAAAGATATGGGAAGTGGGGGGGAAGACAAAACCCCAGAAAATATGAGCAAATATGGGGAATCTTTTTATTTGTGTGTATTTATTTGTGTGTCCCAGGGCCCCTTCACAGATGTGGTCTGCTACGACATCATTTTTTCGTGACGTCGGATCTCAGGGTCACTCCCTCCTCCCTCCCCCACGTAGCCGACGGCGGCGAAGACGGCTTCGACGACGAAGGCGGCGCCGCCGCCGACGGCGCGGACGCCGCCGAGCAAGATGCCGACGCCGATGTGCACCGGCGGCGACGCGCCAGTGACCTCCATCGGTGGTGATGAAGCGGCGCGTGTCGGTCAGAAGGGGGGGGGGGTTGGAAAGGGGCGGCACGGACTGTGGCGCGTGCAGCTGTCTCCCAGGCGCCTCTCCTCGATGTGCGCTGGCGCCCCCTCTCGCACGGCAGCGCGGCGGAGGGTCCAGCCATGCTCCAGATTTCGCAATAAAGGGAGGGGGGTCTCATTTCGGGGGGGGGGTCTCTTCCAGGCTACCTTGGAGGGCCTGGGGGGGTCTGGGGACGATGCTTTGGAGGGCTCTCCCACGGGGGAGGTCTGAGATGGCTCGTCTTGGAGGGTCCAGACCCCCCCCCTTGAGTTACGAAATCTGGAGTGCTCGAGCCGAGGTCTCCCGCCCGTCCGGCCCTCCTCTTTCGTCTCCCGGGCTTTATCGTCGGGGCGGCCCGGGGAGTGGAGACGCTGGGCGCTCGGCCCCAGGGCGGAGACCCGGGGGTCGGGCAGGAGAGAGCGAGAGAGAGAGAGAGAGAGAGAGAGAGAGAGAGAGAGAGAGAGAGAGAGAGAG